GTGTCAGTTGCTGGTGACCACAGTTGGAACTGCAGAGTGGTTGCATAAATCCTGCTGGTTGTAAGTGTGTGGTAAAAGGTGTTGGTCCCTACTTCATCTGTAGTGGTTTTAGAATGTTCTATTCTTACTGCTGCTTCTGTGACTCATAGCTACATTGATAAAAGAAAGCCAGAGACAAAAATAGAGGTTTCTACCTAAAGCCTTTCTTCTGGTCTTCCGTTTTTATTACTTGCTAATCCCTCTTCTTTCTTTTGCTGTCTAGATAACTCACTTCAGAAATGAGTTTTTAGACAACCTCTCAGTAGTCATGGCACTCTCTCCAACCCCCTTTTGACAATTGCTTTTTCTCAAATTAATCACTAGCCTGCTCCTTTATTCTATTTTGTTTTCATGTTGGTCTTTTGTTAGCCTGCTGAAAGGAACTTTGTAATATCAGCTCCACCTCCAATACTAGAAGCAGCGTGACTCAGTTGCGTTACGATAAATGGACCCGCTGCATGTTAGCAGCTGCGACTCCAGTGCTCATTCTGAGACCTTACTTCCTGCCAGCCTGAGGGCCAGTAGGGGGACCAGTGACTCCAGCCTGTAGACTAACAAGACTTCATTAGCTTTCCATTCCTTCCCACAGCTCCAGGAGTTGGAAGATTTTCTTTTTTTTTTTTTAACCAAAGGAATTGTATTAAGCAATATTTTTCCATTTTTTTATTAACCAAAGCTTATAGCTAGGTCTAAAACTCAAAACTTATGCTTCAAATAGTATCAACATTAAGTTTGATTTTTCAGATGGTTGAGGTTCATTTACCTGTGTACCTTGAATATGAGTAGACAATTCCAATTAACGTTTTTTAAAAATGAAAATAATGTCAAGTCCCTGTTCTATGCTATTTCTCTCCCCCTCAGTTACAGACTTGGTGGGTCCCTTGTGGTCCTAGGATCTCAGGCTGAGGCCATGATCTGTACCTTGGGAGTTTCTAGTTGTATTAGCAAGTTGTTTTTTTTTATGGGAAAAGATCATTAAACATATCCACTAAAATGAATTTTTATTAAGACAAGTCCCACCCCCCTCCCCTATTATATAATAGAAAATCCTTCTTGATGCCATTCTTAGTCCTCTGATACCAGATATCTGGTCCTGGAGACCCAAGCGCCTGAATCATCACTTTTTTTTTTTT